CCACTCCTGCTCACATGAAGGCCAGAAGTGCTGAAACCTTCGGTGAGAAATGCTAACCGTGAGGATTTGATCCAACCCCTGCATGCTGGGTCTCTAGGGACTGAGATGAAGCATCTCTTTGGATGTGTTCAGGGTCATGAGCCTCGTCCCAGCTAAGCTGCAAAATATTTTAACGTCTCACCCTTCGAAGGAGGCGGGAAAGAAACTCTTCCTAGTTTATGTTTAATAAAATATTAAACCCTAAAGTATCCTTAAAATGGGTCAGATTACGAAGGATAATGAAACGCTCCAAGAGCACCCATTTGCCAGCCCACAGCAGAAAAGCTATCCTGTCTCCTGGCGCCCTCCTGTGGTAAAATGGCAGCTCTGCAGTGAGGACTGTACCGCTCAGAGATGAAAGTGTCAGAAAGATGTTCATTCACCTTCATAAATAGTTGGACCGCACACTAAGAATTAACGTCCAAAATGACAAAAGTGGTGGTGCCCGAGGGCGGGCCACGGAATTAGAAGTGTTTCGTCACCACCTCCTATGGTGTCTAAAAGGAACAAAAACAGTAAAGAACAAAAAACCAGAACAATACCACAATTACCACCCTGGTTGACTAGCAATAACAAGCAGACCCGGTGTAGAGCTTTGTACAGAATGACCTGGAGCCTCAGCATCAGGATCCCCTATGGGTAATTCTTATTGAATTCAGTGGGGGGCCGGCCCGGTGGTGCACTGCGCTAGTGCGCCACTTGGGAAGTGCGGCGGCGCTCCCGCCGAGGGTTCAGATCCCACATACAGACTGGTTCCCGCTCACTGGCTGGGGGAGGCGCGGGGGCAACACCGAGGGTTGCGATCCCGTTGCCGGTCCCGGTCTGGTACGGGGGCAACACTGAGGGTTGGGATCTGTTGCCGGGCACGGAAAAAAACAAAAAAAAAAAAAAAAAAATGAATTCAGTGGGAAGGTCAAACAATTCCTTTTTAAAGTTTCCTATTGTTTCATTTCATGCAGACTGAAAACTTTAAGCAAAGACTTTAAGAAAGTCTGTCTTCCTAAATAGTTAAGAATACTCTACCTTAAAAGGTTTGTCTTCCAAAAGGCAACAGAATATGGTTTAGATCATGAACTCTGGAGCCAAAATGGCACTTACTAGCTGAGTTATTTAACCTCTCTGTGCCTCAATTTCCACATCTGCAAAATATGGATAATAATATTACCTACCTGAGAATTAAAAGAGTTAATATGTAATTAATGAGTTATATGTAAACTGCTTTTAATAGTGCCTGGTATGTAGTAAGCACTACTCAAGTTTAATAAATAAATGCAATGTAAAAACAAGTCAGAGAGTTGACTATAAATTTTAGTGTTGAGTTCTTATATTACCATTTTCCCACTCAATACTCTTATCCTTCAAAGTTTTTGTTAATAATAATTGCTATAATACTACAACAATAATTATAATAATTACAAGTTAAACTGATGACTAATGAAATTTATTTTAGGGGCAAGTAATCTGCATTTCTAAGGTCGATATGATAATATAAAAAATAAAAATCTGGTCTTTGTCCCTGGTTCCTGGCACACAGCTCCGTCAACCCTTGGAATTTACTGTCTTTTGTACGCTAAAGAGAACGTGTGACTAGAGGGTGGACACTTTCAGCTCTGCCCCGCGAACTCCAAGGAGGGTAGAGGAGCTGGATATTGGATCATAATAACTCCTGAACAGTGAGATTTGGAGAGCTCCCGGTTGGCGAAGGCGGTGACAAGCTGGGCGGATGGTCTGCCCAAAGGAGGAATGGAAGCTCTGAGCCACCCCATCCCCATGCCTTGCCTTGTGCATTCTTCCACTTGACTGTTCCTGAGTCGTATCCTTTATAATCAATCTGTAATGGTGAATATGCTGCTTTCCTGTATTCTTTTTTTTTTTTTCCTTTTTGTCTTTTTTCGTGTCCGGCAACGGACCGCAACCCTCAGTGTCGCGCCCGTACCAGACCGGGACCAGCAAGGGGATCGCAACCCTCGGTGCCGTGCCCGCCCCTCGCTCAGCCAGTGAGCGGGAACCGGTCTGTATGTGGGATCCGAACCCTCGGTGGGAGCGCCACTGCGCTCCCAAGCGGCGCATTGTAGCAGTGCACCACCGGGCCGGCCCTTTCCTGTATTCTTTGAGTTGCTCTAGAGAATTCTTGGACCTGAGAGGAGGACCATGGGAACCCTTAAATTTGTAGTTGGCTGTGAAGTGTGGGTAGCTTGGGCACCCCATTAGCTGCTGCCAAATGAAGTGGGGCAGTCTTGTGGGACTGAGCCCTTCATCTGTGAGGTTGTTAACCTCAGAGAGTGTTAGAATTGAAGTGAACTGTTGGCCACCCAGTTAGTACCTAGAGAATTGGTTGTTGGTATTGGAGAAAAACACAAGTTGGTGTCAGCAAACAGCACACAATTGGACTTCAAGAATATAAGATGAAGAACTTTGATGACATTGTGTGCCAGGCCAATTAATAAGCAGCAGTCCTTCCCAATGTCATCTTCCCCATAGTCAGGTGACCCCTTAGAGATTCTGAAGGTGCACTGGGAGGAACCCAGCTGCACATGGATGTGTGTGTAGATGCTGGTGGCTTTAAAATTTGAACATAAATTCTTTGATGCTCCTCCCTTCAACAGTAGCACTTAATTCCCCTCCCCTTGAGTGTAAAATGGACCTAGTGACTCACTTCTAACAAACCAAATTAAGTGGAAGTGATGTTGTGCAACTTTAGAGACTAGGTCATAAAAGGCACTGCAAGTTCTGTCCTCTCTTTTTTGGATCCCTCCTTCTGGAAGAAGCTCATTGCCAGGTCATGAGGACACTTGGCAGCTTTGTGAAGAGGCTCATGTGAGACAGTCATCTTGGAAGCAGATCCTACAGCCCCAGTCAAGCCTTCAGATGACTGTGCTCAGGTTGACTTCAGTACTGTCTCATGAGACAGAACCATCAGCTGAGCCACTCAGATTCTTGATCCTCAGATATTGTGTGAGATAAAATATTTGTTCCTTTAAGCTGCTATATGTTAGGGTAATTTGTTACCCAGCATAGGTAACTATTACAGTGTGTATTTACGGATGAAGTAAAGTGTAAAGCACCTTTCTGAGACCTGACACTATTCAGCTGGTGAAAATCCACCATCTTGACCCAAGAGCTAATGCCAAATTGCAATAACATGCTGTGATCAAATGGTTTTCTTTTCCCCGCCCGGTCGCTACCATGTCACAAGCATTTTGTCCTATTATTTAACTTATTTGCCTAGAATACTTGTGATGAAGTTCGAGTGCAGTTTCAGTGTGGTAGAGTGCCACCAGGAGGATGGCAGCCTGGCCACGGAGAAGCCGTGATGAGTGAAGTGCTTCCCGAAGTCTGGGCCTTGGTTCTCTGTCCTGAAGAGTCAGAAAGTATACTTTGTTAGAATATTCGGAAACTCACAGACTAAACTTACAGACTTGCGAGCAGAACCACACAAACTAAATTCACATGAGACTGATGTCTAAACCAGAGAGCCTCTCTCAATTTACAATGAGCAGAATGGAATTTTGGTGTCTCATCCAGAGTTCCTCCTTTTCCTAAATGATAATAGCTTGAAGGACCTATTAGCAACCAGAAGGTGGTTCAGTTAAGCTTGCAATTAGTGCCAAAAGAAGCGGACAAGTCTCCAGGTATGTTCTTCCCAAGCCACAGCGGGTCTGGGTAAACCGGTTCTACCTGAAGTACAGAACACTTCTGTCACTGAATTGCTCACGTCTCCTGGATTCTGGACCTCCCCCCGCTTCATGGATTACACTGCGTACACAGTCATATTTTGTTTCTCCAAACCCTGTTTTGGTAAAGTTGACTATTTCTGTTCATATTCTCTTTCCTCAAATGAGTTAATGTCATTTAATAACCTACAGTGCCTGTGGGGAACGCTACCTTCTCACTACGTGTTCACTTTGTAAGCTTAACTCTCAGGAGGTTTCTTATTACTGAGGTCCTTGTGAGGTACATCACTGTCACCCTCACATACAACCTGCAGTTTGGAGAGGCCATTTACTTAGCCTATCAGAACTTCTCCAGAGGGAATATTTTAGAACCAATTTAGAATTTCAAAGGAGGTTTTATAATTTCTGACCTTTTATCAAGAAAATTTCCATGATCAATGAAATTCTGAATTGATCATCAGGGGTTGAAACATGAATAAATAGCAGTTTATCAAACAGGGCATTTATGTGATGTTCTCCTTTTTCAAAAGCTCTATGTTCGGTCCACTACAGTACAGTTTTCCAACTAGAGTCATGAGTATTTTTACCCAAATCAAGCCTTTCCAATTTGGAAATATTAGGTTAATTTGTACTTCCAGTTTCAGAAATTAAAAAATACAGTTTTTTCTACTCACAATTAAAATTAAATTTGAGAAAATACCTTAGTATTTTAGTATCTTAGTATTAATCTCACTAGTTAGTATCTTCAGATTAATCAATATGTATTGATTCAAAAGTTCAAAAGTGTATTCCATTAAATGCATGCAGTTAAATTATTCAAAAAATTTGCAATTACAATAAAATTCTCAATATTTTGTCCACTCTGTAATTAGATAAATGGAATTATAAGTTCAATAATTAGTGATTACTAGTATGTCAAAATAATTCATAAATTTATAGATATTTCAAAATCTCTTAGTTTCATTGTACTCAGAAACCCAGGAATACCACTAAAGTAAATAATCATTTACATGTCATTTTAAACAGACATCATTCTTTTTGAATTTGTGTTCTACTGAAGACATCTTTCCCTGATTACTTCTGTCTTACTAAAAAGAAAACCAATTATATTTGTTAAGAACAAAGTGAAGTATAAATTCAACAGCTGCCAAAATTTGAGACAGCAACAAATCCACAGGAGGAACAGGTAAACACATTAGCTTTAATACAGCTAGTACATAATAAAAATTAAGACAGCTATTTTGGGAAGATTAATGCAAATAGAAAAACTGATTAAAGTATGCTCACTTAAAGCCCAGTCTTCAGCATTTTTATTTGGTTTAGTATATGCTAGAGTATAAATACGTAACAATATGTCTTTTCTTATCATGGGTAGTCTTTTACATAAATAAAATTTGTGATTAACATTTTATATAATACAAGATAAACTAAATTTGCAAATTATCAGAAAAGGAACAAGGATATAGGAAAATAATACATTCCATATGAATTATAGAGGACAGTTAACAATGAAAACCCATTACTTTCCTCTCTAATTCAATTTTACAAAATAAAGTCAACATGTATTATTACTCTGTGAGCTGTTAAGAGTACATAAACTGGGGGCCGGCCCGGTGGCGCACTGGATAAG